GTTAATGTTATGTGCATCGGTGCAGCAAGTTGTAAAGGGCTGAATGCTTGTATTAGAGTGAACTTAACATTTTATATCTGTTACCAAAGCTAACAGAGGTAACAAACAGCAACATCACCACCTCCCAGATGTAACCTTTACAGCAATCCTGTAATACAGATTTCCATTGCTCTTGCTTATGCAGCTGGGTAGTTCACAGCCTGTGAATTTCCCTTTGCTGCACACAAGAAAACAAAGAATGGCTCCCCTTCATGCAGGGTGTTTCTGCTCCTCCTTGAGACAACAATGCCGTGTGCCCCCCACTGCACTGGAGATCTATTAACCAAATCCCACACTGGGTCTTAATTATACAGGAAAAAGTTCCCTTTGGAGCCCTTGCTCCCTAAGCATTCTAAAAGAGAACTTGTGAGCCTTTATCCTGGATGCTCAGACACACGCAGCCTAACACACTGGCTGGAAGACCCCTCTGCAAAGGGGATGGCATCTTGCCTTGCAAACCTGCTCACACCCAATATCACTTAGGACATGTCCCTGTTACCTCTTACACTAGCCCTTATTTCCTTTCTGGAATGAATGAGAAAATGTTTTCATTTGAACCAGGGGGCCCAACATGATGCCAAGTGGGGCTTTTTGGTTAAGTTTGGTGTAGTGGTTAAGTGCGCGGACTCTAATCTGGGAGAACCGGGTTTGATTCCCCACTCCTCCACTTGGAGCTGCTGGATGACCTTGGGCAAGCCAAAGTTTTGTCAGAGTTGTTCTTGAAAGAGCAATTCTCTATTTCTGTTTTGTATAGAAAATAATAAATAAAGCATTAAAAAAGAGCAGTTCTCTGAGAGCTCTCTCAGCTCCACCTACCTCACAGGGTGTCTGTTGTGGGGAGGGGAAGGGAAAAGAAGTTTGTAAACCGCTCTGAGACTCTGAGTAAAGGGCAGGGTATAAATCCAATATCCTTCTTTTGCCCAGCAAGACTTCTGACTGGCTGTGGAGATTTTTTAAATTGTTGCTTTGGCAGCAGCTGCCACCACAGCACTAGGATCTTTCCTGTGTGACTGGTTAAGTTGCAGCAGCCATTTTGTGTTTGTCTCTGTCTACTGTGGCATCCATTTTGTGGATGTGCCCACCACGCTGTGTGAGAACGCCAAAGGTGCCTGCAGGCTCAAAAAGGTTGGGGACCCCATCTCTGAACTAAAGAAGAGTGAGTTGAGTCAGACCAAAGATCTGGCTGGCCTAGCATACGATGAACCAAGAATGATGCTGAACATTTAGGATGAACTTTGCATCTGTGCATCTCCATGGCTGGGAAAGACCTTCCTCCATCTGAAACACTTTGGAAGGATGCTGCCAGTCAGTGCCACGATGTCACACCAACACTATTTTCTAAGGGCTCAACTACATGCGATGGTTTTCTTTTGTGTTTATTTTTAAAAACTTTTTGCTCTTTCACAAATGCAGTCTTGGGGACTGGAGAATGGTGTGTGTATGGGGGACTTTAGTCCTATCAACCACCATAATTTTTCTCACACAAAAAGCCACCTCAAAGCTGCTTTTATCTCCACTGGAAGGGGGAGGGGGGAATAAGATCAACTGTAACTTTTCCTCTGAAGGGACATACACAAATCAGAGGTGGCTATGCAGTGAGAAAAATGGCAGGAAAGGGTTAACATGTGTCTTCCCCCCCCCCCCAATGCCATTCTCCTACTTGCTAAAGCAGTCCCAGAGGCTACATTTGCAAAAGAAAAGAAGTGCCCTTAAAACACACACACACACAATGTGATCTGGGAAGTTCCTGGTTCAAAATCTTACCTCTACTTGGCCTTAGGTAAGCCACTCTCTCTCGGACTAACCCTCTCCATGGGAAATGTTGGAAGAACAAGATAATGTGCAAGAAGAATTCTGCACTGAAAAAGTATTACATAACAGCCAAATATTATTATGACTAGGCTAAATGGGCCAATTGTTTGATTCAGCAAAGGCAGCTGCATATGTTCCCCCCCCCCCCCCCAGCCATTCATGTAGAGGAACCAGACTGAGGCTTAATGTGTTAACTAGTCAGAAGTGTCCACTTTTAAAAGCTGTTTATTATCAGCTTCAGGTTATGAAGTTAGGTACAACAAAAATGAAAGGAGTAGTACTGGAAGCAGATGCCCTTTTGAAGTCACAGTGTACCCCAAAGGGATCCTCTGAAGCAAGCATGTATGTGGGAATGAGAGAACAGACACAGACTCCAGAGAAACCTTGAAAAGGCAACTCAGAAGATCCTAAAATCAAAGTTCCTTGATTTTTTTCCACTCAAAAAACTGAGCAAGAAAACTGAGGGCGGTAAACAGTAACATTCTGTTCCTGAGCAGGTTTCTTTTGTAAATGTGCTGAAAGTGAAAACTGAAATTTAGCTCCATTTAAAAACTTCTTCTTGAAGCATTTATGCCCCCCCCAGACGTAGCAACCAGCTCCCCCCACCAGAGAGACACACAATCAAAGTTCCAGTTTTCTGAAGCTGTGAGCTTTGCTTTGTCTTTCTGTGCACTGCTGGTGCAGCAAGCGGTTCACATTAAAGACAACTGTGATGTCTTTAAAGCCCTGAGTCGTTAAGCTGTATGTTTGGGCATGAATAGAAATCTAAAACTCTCCCCACAGCTAAAGTTGTCTCTTCTGAGGCAGCAAACACGGATTCTGCAGCAGTATTTTAAGGCTGTGACACTTCTAATGTACCAAGCGCCTCAGTCGTTTTGTCTACTAGAGTTTTTATTGCTAAGGCACAAACAGCTGTCATTGAACTGTTACTGAAGGGCTGTGTTCCAATTGGCTAAGGGTGAGAGGCTTCATAGGGGCTTCAACCAATCGAAGGAAAATTGACCCATAAAAAATACATTTCAATGTATTGACTCAACATTAAGATTTAATGAGCTTATGGCAGGCGAGACAGACCAGCCCATCTAACAATCTGATTGACAGGTAAGGGATTTCACATCATGGAACGGTGAAGAGACTGTTGCAAGCCTGCTATTCCCTGTGACAGCATGCCAAGATGTGCGGTTAGAATTTATACAGCCTGTACCTGTATGATCTGGGGCAGTACTCAATGGTGGAACTGCAGCTTTGGAACTAACTACCGATACTGATGGAATGCAGGGACAGAATGGGAAAGGACTAAGGTTCGATGGTAGAGCACTTGCTTTGTGTATAGAAGGAGCCAGATTTAGTTCTTCGCATCTCCAGTATTTACTATATCTCAATGTACCAGGTCCGGGGGAAGGAAGACCATTCCATACTCGAAACCTGAGAGAAACTCTGGCCATTATAGCAGACAATATTAGCATTTCCTATTAGTTGGGCATTTTTCATGCAGAAAGATTGAATTGATAAAAAACTGAAAAGCCAAACTGTGAAAATGTTGCTGCATCCTCCCTCCACCTACAAAACTCTAGCAGATCTCAGCTCTGAAAAGCAGTCTGCCAGTGCCACAATGGACTTCCCATCGTATTAAATGAAACCATGATTCTGTAAATACACTGCTGTCCAGAATTCTGATGTATGTTGATCATCATGGACTCCTTCAAGTCCATAGGGATGAGATAGACAGAATCAGAGACAGTTACAACTGTGTACCCTCTGATCAGCAGGGAGGGCATATCTAAGCACAAATCAGGGCCACGGGACTCATGCAACATACCAAGGATGCATGACCAAAGCAAACAGACTAAGGGTATACGGCAGCAATTATAAATTTGCATTACCAATAGTAATGGTGGCTCTTGCACAATCGCCAATCCATTGGATTTACGCAGGAGAAGCTGCTGATGGCTTGAGCATCACTGAGACTGGATGGTAAAAGGGAAGCAGCAGAGGATACAATCAATATATCCTACTGATTTCAGTTGGAAAAACTTGGATTGTAAAGAATGCGGGTTAGATGCAAAAGCCACATTTCAATGGGGTGAATCAGCAAGTTCTGCCCAACACTTAAACACATGAGGAAAAATGTAGGTGGTCTTATGGTCTCAGAGCTGGAGAACTTCACACCTCTACAAAGCCACAGTACCTGAATTAGAAGCTGGCAGACTTCAACTGCCAGGTCTTACTTCTTTTTCCTTCCTACACTATTAAAGGCACAGGGCCATCGCTCAAAGGTACAACATGTGCTTTGTGCAAAGGATGGCCTGGGTTTTCATTTCCTGCCACCTTCACTGAGCAGAACCTCAGGAAGGAAGGGAACATCCCTTCAAGGCCCTGGAAAACTGCAACTAGAGAGGGCAAGCAGCACTGGCTGGTTGAACAGGAACCTGGGCTTCATATAAGACAACTATGTACTTTCACCTGAAGCTTTACTCTTTATCGTTCAATATGCTGCCAAAAGTTCTTCAAACAACACTGGGGGGTGGGGTGGGGGGTGAGAGATCAAAACTAATTGAAAATCAGTGTAGTGTAGTGGTTAGACTAGGATCTGGGAGACCCTGTTTCAAATATAGACTCTACCATGGAAACTTGCTGGGTGACCTTGTGCCAGTCACGCATCAGCCTAAGCTACACCCTGACCTGGATAGCCCAATATATTCAGATCCTGGAATCTAAGCAGGATCGGCCCTGGCTAGTATTTGGATGGGCGACCTCCGAGGAATACCAGGGGCGTGACGCAGGGGCAGGCACTGGCAAACCACCTCTGAAACATCCCTTGCCTAGTGGTGCATAATGTTGAAAGAGCTAGAACTTTTGGCTGCCAGACAATCTTAGGATCTCCTGGCTATACTACACACACTGCCATATGATAAATTAATTGATTAGCCTAAGCTACCTCACAGGACTGTTTTGAGGGTAAGATGGAGGAGATGAGAATGAGGTAAACTGCAGTGGTTCCCCCATTAGGGAGAAGCGCAGGGTATAAATGAATTAAATAATAAATAAAGATTCCTCCCTGGCAGTGCTCGGCTGTGCCAGATTCTGGATGCTACTGGGCAGACAGAGAAGCCCTTCTTCTTAAGCAACCTGTGGCAGCCCCAGCCTACCTGTGATACTGTGATGCTGCATTTCTTTGCCAGCTCTTCTTTGGCTTCTTCACTGGGGTAGGGATTGCTGAGGTGAGAGTAAAAATACTCATTCAAGATTTCTGTGGCTTGTTTACTGAAGTTACGCCTTTTCCGCCTGAAAAGTGAAGAAAACAAAAGAAATAAAAGAAATCTCAGCTGTGAGAAGTGATCATTGAAAGCTAACCAGGATGCGCACGCAGGGCAAGGGTTTCTCTAGCTTCTTCTTGCTGAGAATTAAAGCTAAGCTTTAAAAGAAAGGAAGTTTGAACAGCAGCCGTTTGGTAGCAGGCAATTCCGATCCGAACCACAGCATGGGTTCTTATTCTAAACCCCTCCTTGCTGTTTTTCCCTGCCTCTCAGTCCCGCTTATCAGTCTTTCAATTCTTACAGTCACCACAGTGGGAGATACTATCAGAGACCCCCCAGTGTCAAATCTAGCCTGACGCTGAATCTGAGTACAGCTAGGATATTTCACCCCCTCGCTTAAGCATTCTGCCACAAGAAGGCAAAAGCAAGAGGATAAGAAAGAAGCAGTGTTTTGACAGGCGTTGCTTGCCTAGGAAAAAAAAAATTCCAGACCTACAACCCCCTACCCACAGAAACAGGACCTAAATCCCAATGGCAGTCAAGTTCTAAAAACTTAGTAGAGATATTTGCCAACCAGAATTTCAGATGGATTTACATTTGTAGGCTGTGTCTTAGATATTTATAAGATACAAGTACCACGAGAAAACAATTCTATGAAGTATTACATCAATGACATCCTTGTAGTAGGTTCTGGGCCGCTGATGCATTGAACTGGTCCGAACTGCAAGAACTTTGAGAATAAATATTTCTGCCTACTGGATGAACACTTCATGAGCATGAGGAAGTGAGTTCTGACTCATGAAAGCTTGTGCGGGAATAAATTTTGTTAAGTCTTTAGGGCGTCACTTTGCTCCTGTTTTGTTTTGCTGCTACAGACCAATATGGTATTTAAAGGTAAAGGTTCCCTTGCTTGAAAGCCAGTCTAGGGTTGTGGTGCTCATCTCCATTTCAAAGCCGAAGAGCCAGCGCTGTCCGAAGACGTTTCTGTGGTCATGTGGCCGGCATGACTAAACACCAAGGCGCACGGAACGCTGTTACCTTCCCACCAAAGTGGTACCTATTTATCTACTTACAATGTCTTGCTTTCCAACTGCTAGGTTGGCAGGAGCTGGAACTAGAGACGGGAGCTCACTCCATCATGTGGCACACTCGGGTCTCGAACTGCTGAACTACTGACCTTCCACAGCCTGCAGTTCAGCGTCTTAACCACTTGAGCCACCGTAGCTCCTATATGGTATTTAGATAAGAGTAAAAGCTTTAACAATGCATAGGACTAGTTGCTGGTATTTCCTGTCCAGATGAAGGCAGGTTCAGGGTATTTTTGCACATATGCCATATGCCCAGATTTATGGGAAGAATATTGCAAAAAAAAGTTATGGATGCTATCGGTTATCAAATTCCATCACAAGCTACTGTTAAATTATTAAGGTATTTGAAGAAGAAAACACAGATGGCTAACTGTTATCAATCCTTCTAATTGCAAAGCTGATGAATGTTAAGACTGGTCATGCTGATTCAGACCAATGGTCCATTCAGTCCAGCAGGCTGCCTCCAAAGTGGCCAGTCAGATGCCACCGGGAATCCCACAAGCAGGGCCTGCAGTCAACAGGTTTCACTTGCTGATTGCTGCCCAGTATCTGCCCAACACTAAGGGATTCTTTGAAAACGGGAGGTCATATTTGGCTATCATGACTAATGATCAATGACACACCATAAAGATTTAGACTAGGGCTTAACTGTTAAATATGTTGATGCACTGCTAAAGATGGAGAGTTTCTGAATGGTTACATACTCATAACGCTCATGTTCCGTTTTTTAAACTGTGAGTTTCATTCAAGTTCTTAAAGAGCTCTGAACTATGTTCTTCCACAAACTGCTCTGCCTTCCGTTTCTTTATCTGTACAAGAGTGTTAAAACGTGCTCTAAGTGTTTCTCCTCCAAGCTCCAGTCCCCCTCCAGGATCCCAGCCTATGCCCCTGGATGACTACTCCATAGGGAGCTTCCATCTGGCATGCTGCAGCCTATCAGTATCATGGCACACCTGTTCCCCAGCAATCAGCTGTTCCCCTCTGGAATCAGGTTTATCTCATCACTTTCACTGATTTTGCCTTCAGTTCATGCTCTTTGCAAACAACCAACTTGCGTTCCAAAGGTGTTCTCTTTCTTTCCAGCTTTGGGTTCCACCACAAGTAACTTGTTTATTAGCAACGCTAGTCTGCCTTTGTTTAATACGTAGAAGCCAGTGCTAGTCTCCAGTCCTCATAGTGCATACATGACAAAGAATCTTGTAAGCAACCAGTGCAGCCCAATTTTGAAGCCACCCCTTGGCTTCAGAGAAACCACACACCACTTAGCAGCCACACCTCTCAGTTCTGCTGTACTGGGAATCTCATATCCCTTGAAAGCTCACATTATATCAGTACAGCCAAAGCAATTCTCACTTACGCTGGATGATCCAGTTTTGGCTTCTCACACACCCAGTAGTGGAGCCTCATGAAGGCTGAGGACAGTATGAACATTTCATGGGCAAGAGGAGCTAGTTTTTAAACACTCCCACCATCTTCAATACAACTGTATCTGTCTCTATCCCAGTACAAGCCCCCCAGCCGCGTTCTATGGTTTCTCCATGGAGGTCATTTTGAACCAAGAAAAAGCCAGCTAGAGAGACCACCTGTTAAGCCATTGCCTGTGTCCTCACCAACATACCTCCCTCTTTCCAGATGTCAGCAAATTTTCTGTTAAGGTAAACATGTTTGTGCATAAACACGTAAGCCACTTTAAAGTGTGATAAGCATACCAAAAACATGTGTGATGAGCCAAAATTGAAGGCGCAACCACCATTTGGGGTGTGGGTACACATGTGGATAAAGAAAACTGAGAAGCTGGGGACACACTGCAGCTGAAGGACCCACTGTTAAAACGTCTGCCTTCACCTGAAGTCAGCATGGGATGTTGCTCTAGTACAAATGCATTAGTTCGTCAGTGGCACAAGTTCATGCCATGTTTGCAACTAAAGTGCTCTTTTCATCATCCCTGTCCCCTTCTTTGGGAAAATGGCTGCATTTAAAGGCTTGGGCATAGCAAAGATTCCCTTTGAAAGCCCCATGCTGAGACACCCTGAGAGCTCACAGATAAGAGATTCCCTGAGCCAAACGCTTCTCAGGGCACACGCAGCTCATCCAAAAGGCTGGTTTCATTTGCCAGCCTCTATGACTGTCCAGTCCTCTGCTGCTGAAGGGTTTCCCCCATCAAGTCAGCTTCTTAGAAGTGCAAATTAAAAGGGTATTGAATGGTTAACACTTACTAACAACTGCCATATCAACATAAACATAACATGGGACTCTGGGGCAAGTGATGCTCTGTCATCTTGGTGCTTGGGGGGGGGGGTCAACAGTGGGAGGGCTTCTAATGTCCTGGCCCCACTTGTGGACCTCCTGATGGTGCTGGTATTTCTGGCCACTGTGTGACACAGAGTGTTGCACGGGATGGGCCTTTGGCCTGATCCAACATTGGCATCTCTTATGTTCTTATGTTCTTATAAAGTAGCTGTTGCTAATGTTCCACTCCCCTTCTCTCCCCACTCGCTTTAATTGGAGTCTGAGTGATCTCAGTGACCCTTCTGTGAAATTCCCAAACACAGAGAGATGGTTGCAACTTACCCCTTTACGCTGAATAGAAAGTGGGCACAGATTTGGGGGAGGAAGGAAGGAAGGAAGGTTTTTGTACCCTTTGTAGGTCACTGGATAAGACTAACACTCTGCAGATCTGTCCTTACCTCAAACTTTCCAAACCTTCTCCCTTGCCTGCTTTGACCCCTGCACCAAGAGCACTCTGTCGCTATTGTATTTTGCAACGCCAAACATCATACTGTATACAGTAAATAGTGAAGACAGTTGCACCAGATGAGCCACTGAACAGCTTCCAGTCACCTACCTGGCGTCAAGGAACCGTGATCTCAAGATCATGACTGCTTCACAAGTGCTTTGTTTGAGCTGCATCTGAATGGAGCTGAACTTCCGATGGATGATGCCCACCATCCTCTCAATCTCCTTTGGAGAAATGGGACGCGTCCGGCTTTGCTCTCGGAGAAGGTTCATCACATGCGTGGTAAATTCGTTACATGCCTAGGAAGGAAAGGGCCAGTTAGAAGGCAGCTCTGACATGCCAGTTAAGAGTCTTTGATTCCCCCCCCCTCGCAATTAACCCCAAGTTGATGACATGTTCTATGAAGGCAAGGTCTGATGGCAAGTCATGCAGCAATCTTGCTGAAGCTAGGCAAGTGTGAGTCTGGTCAGGGTTTCAATGGCAGACTGCCTGGGAATCCTTGGATAATGGAAGGAAGAGGTAATGTACATATAATTTAGTTAAGATCAAATAGTCTGAACAGATTAGTCATGTCAAAAGGGACCAAAGGAATCAGGTTCTGGGCGATTATCACTGAGGCTGTTTGGTAACATATCAACTGCGAGATTTTCATCAGTAATACCCAAAAAGGTGCAGGATTTTAGTGCCTGGATTATCTTACTAGAGAAAACAATGGAGAACAGGGCAGGTGGCTGAGTGGTGTTCAGCTCTGAGAAAAATCCTGATGTTTACCTGAATCTGCATTGATCTCTGGGGGACTGGCTGGGACATGATTTGAGTATGTCTATGATGTGTGTAAAAGAATCAATTGCATAGCACACTCTTCCCCACCGTATTCCCCTCACAAACTAATTTTCCATCTTTAGCCTTTTAAAAAATACCCCACTTGAGGAAAGAGTTCTGCGCAACTCCAAAGCTCTCTTACCATATTGTGAGCTAAGGCATTTACTGCTGTGCAACTCCTTGGGTGACCTTGGGCTAGTCACACACTCCCAACCTTACCTATATCAGAGTTGCTGTAAGAACCAAACGGGAAGAGACAACCACATAAAACAACTCTGAACTCTTAAGGAAAGGGCAGGGTAACAATGTAGAGTTAGAATATCCTGAAGAACGGGCACCCGTCATCAGAAGCATGAGCCTTCCCCCCCAAAAGAAGTTTCCATGTCCACAGTCTCCTTTCCTCTGTTCTTCTGCCCTTTCTACCCATGACATCACATCCCAAAAGAAATCTGCTTCATGCATATAATTTTTCATACCTTTGAAACCTGCAAGTCACAACCCTACTTTCACTGCTCCTCTCTCATGCTCAACTCCTTTCAGCCTTTCCAAACAAACATGACATCCCAGACTCCTTCACTGCTATACTTCCTATCTCTTTTTGGATCAAACCTGGCTTGCACAGACTGTGCCGGTTGTTTCTAGACTGCATGTTGGGACAGAGAGGGAAAAAAAATCACACATGTCTCCTATGAGCTCAAACTACCCATCCACAAAAGAGTTTGTCTGATGTGTCTCTGACTGATACACTGCTTTGGCTTTTCCTTATCAGCCTCTGTTGGAGGCTGGTAATTTGGTTGTGTCTCTGTATCAGGACTGAGTGGACCACTCTGACACAATAGATAACACTGCCGCCTCACTCTTGGAGAAGGCTTTCCATTGAATTTCATGAGTCGGCACGCTGATCATTCATTCTTCCTGTGAGGAGTCATGCTCAGAGCAGTTATTTATACAGAACTGCACAGGGTGGCTCCTTCAGGGAATAGATAACTTTCACATTTTAAAAGCAAGCTTTTCAGGTGCAAGGAAAAAAAGTACACCTCCAGTTTTAATCCAGGGAAGAAGCATACTGTGGCTATCCAAAGTTGGGAAAAACACTGTGCTGCACTAACAGTCACTGTCTTCGCTGCCTCCATTACTCCATAGGTCAATCTTAAGCCGTATTATATCCTTCTGAGCTAGGGTTGCCAAATTGACTCACCCCTCGGAGCGGGGGAGCCCTGCCGGCGTCCGGGAGGTTGCGAAGACACGTGCGCCGGGAGCACATCACCGGAAGTGACGTGCGACGTTGCTGACGTTGGGGGCATGGCCGGGCTCGTCGGGGGGGGAACCATATGGTTTCCCCCCCGACGGGCTCAGCCACGCCCCCAATGTCAGCAACGTGGCTGCGTCACCTCTGGTGACGCAGCTTCGGGGGCGGGGTTCCCCCCGGGCCCCGATTCCGCCGGGGCGGAAATCAGGGCTCTGAAGCGGGGGATTCCCCGCCCCCGGGCCCATTTGGCAACCCTATTCTGAGCCCACCGACTTCAACTTAGAAAGGTTTAACTTGGCTCAGGATTGCACTGTCAGTGCAGTCCCTGTCTGGCCCAATGGCCTGCAGAGAGGTAAAGAGGTGAAGAGTGAAAAGTTTACACAGCAGAGAGAGAGAGAGAGAGAGAGAGAGAGAGAGAGAGAGAGAGAGAGAGAGAGAGAGAGAGAGAGACTCATCCTTCTTTCCTCCAACATTTGCTGGGAACCTCTCTTGTAACTTATTAACCGAAGCCATCTATGAATGCAAACGCTGATTAGCAATTTGGCAACAGACCAGCACATCCGCAGGATTCATAGAGCTTCCTTTTAAACCAGTAGTTCATACATGATTAATTAGAACATCTCATTTATGTAGTGTGCACTTTAGCTCATTACTCTAAGTAAAATTTGTTAAGTATTTACATTTAGATAATTAAAATCTGGGTACACCCTTAAGAAAGACGCATACACTCCTGGCAAAGTGATTCCTCTCTGCCTTTACATGCCTGAGAGCAAAAATTACAGGCGAACTCCCCACCACCTCACTCCAGAGGCAATGCCCCATGAAACCACAGTTTCTCACCCCAAAGGACACAGTAGCCCTTTTCAAACTGCCTTTGTATTTCCGTTTTAGTAACTGGTAGCTAATGGGTTTTTTCTGTCATTTCAGACAGACACATTTTAGTAACTGGCTGCTAGTGGAATTTATTTATCTGTTCATACAAAGCTGCTTCTGTCGGATTAGCAAAGCATGATTGAGCCGCTTTTGAGTGAAACAGCTTTTTTCCGTTTTCTGCCCCTTTGTTGTGCTTCTGAATCGCCATGGTGTGATGCTTAAAATGTACATAGGGCTTCCTACAATGCTGCTTCCCCCCCACACCCTTTTTCGCCACGCGATCTTCCTCAGGCTTTTCATTAACGTTCTAAGCTGAGTGCTATTGCGCTAAACCAATATAGCACTTCAGTGTTATAGTGACACCATTGAGATGCCTTGACTCCATTGACTCAACAGAGTCAAGGCATCTCAAGTGCTATATTGATACAATGAGATTGTGGCTGTTGTTACCTGGAAACAAGAGGAGTCAAGTAGCTCATTGGGCAGTGGGCACTCTGGGCATCAGTTGATTGATGTGACAGACATTGCTAACCTAAGAAGGTGTCTGTATCAAACATCCTGATGTTCACCCATCCATGCAGCCCATCCATGTGACTGGCTGGTAAGTGACTTTTTGCCAAGAGGATCACAGGTATGTATCTCAAGAAGGCAAACTTCTTTTCTTCATGGGTTGAAGTTGGTGAGTGGTTTGTGTGCTTATCTGTGAGGCTATTGATCTTTGAATCATGGTCTCTATCTCTACTGGGGCTCAATTTCTGCTGGAGATGCTGCTGCTGCTGATCAACAGCTCAGTTATCTTTTATGGAGTGCTTCTGCACATACTTCACTGGTCTGTGCAGAGATCTAGGGTGCATTTGGAAAGCAGTGTGCCCTCCAAGTACTGCCAGAGGGCATCTTTGAGAGCACGGGCACCACTCTTCTCAGCCCATACAGTCCCTCACCGCTGGTGGGTCAAGCCAGGCAGCAAAGACTGGGGGAACAACTGTGTGATGGCCAGATGGAGTGATAAAGAGTGCCTGGAGAATTTCTGGATGTCTCAGGCCACTTTCTTTGAAATTGCTGACAGCCTGAGGCATCGCTTGGAGCGCCAAGACACCCACATGCGCCCTTATACTCCTGTGGGGAAAAGATTGGGGATTGTTCTGTGGTACCTCGCCAATCAGGATTGCTACAGAGAACTCCAAGAGCAGTTTGGAATAGGGCTGTCAACAGGTTCTCTGATAGTCAAAGAGGAAAATTTGGGCAGATGTCCTCCAAGTTCACTGTTGCTAGAGCCTCATCACAAAACAGTTCTTGAGAAAAGACCTCCGGATGAACAGAAGAGGCTGGCTCATCATCTTTGAAGGTGATGCTATGTGCCAATCTCTTGGGCTTCACGCTAGCATCTCCTTTTAGGATGCTGTGTAACTCCCTATAATAGGGAAACATGGCAGGTCAATTACCAGACCGTGAATTATGAGCTACCACTCACAAAGTTTCTGTTTTTGTGTGACATTCCTCAGGTGTCTGCTTATGGCCACTCCTGGATATTGCCTCTGAAATCCTCTGACAACAGTTATAATTCCTTTGAGAGGATCACAGAGCTTGCTGGATTCTCTCTTGCCCCCAAAATGCAAGGAGATCAAGAGTTTCCTGTTCCTTCCAAGCTTACCCCTCTCGCCCCACTCATCCTTCTCGCAGCTGACCGACAAGTCTAGCTTCACAGATGAGCACCCAAACCACTTGCCAACTTCAACCCACAAAGAGAAGAAGTTTGCCTCCCTGAGATATATACCTGCAATCCACTTTGCAAAAAACTCACTTACCAGTAGTGTTCCCTCTAAGCTGAGTGTGAGCTAGCTCACAGTTTTTTAGCCTCCAGCTCACACATTTTTGTCTTAGCTCAGGGAGGATGGCTCCAGAGCAAACTAAGGTATGAAGCAGCCAAACTACTCGCTCACAACTTTAATGCCAGTAGCTCACAAAGTAGAATTTTTGCTCACAAGACTCCACAGCTTAGAGGGAGCATTGCTTACCAGCCAGTCGCGTCTGTTCATGGATGGGCAAACATAAGGATGTTTGCTACAGACACCTTCTTAGGTTAGCAACGTCTGTCACACCAGTCTCTGATGCCCTGAGCACCCACTGTCCAATGAGCTACTTCTCTCCTCTTGTTTCCCAGCAACAACAGCCGCAATCTCACTGTATCAATATAACACTTGAGATGCCTTGACTCCACGGGGTCAATCTCAATGGAGCTGCTATAGCACTGGATTGCTATACTGGTTTAGCGCCATAGTACTCAATTTAGAATGTTTTTTTTTTTAAGTCAGAGGAAGATTGCATGGCAAAAAAGGGCAGGGGGGGAAGCGGTAC